CAATGACCATCGGAAGTACTCTCCACCAAATTTGTATGCTTTCCCATATTTAAATGGATCCTTTTGTTTGCAATGCTTGGGATCACAACTGCCTGCTAGATAGCAAGGAGGCTGCAGTTTTGCTTGAAGATGCTGAAAGAATGAAAGGTTGTAATATACATTGTTTCATAAACATTCACTTCATTTGAAGTGATATTCTTTGTGTTTATTTCCAGTGGACTATCCTGAGCTGATTATACTTACTTTATACATAGATGTTTGGGATAGTGTTCTCCTGTGAGGCAGCACCTGCTTTTTTTCCCTCGTTGTTAATGTTGATTGACAAATAATGTCTCCTTCTGCTACTAATCTGAGTATGGAGAATCTAAGAAAAAAGAAGATGTAGTTAGCCATTTTGTAAAAAAAAGTGTCAGAGAGAAAAACTCAGAAAGCTGGTACTACATCCAAACAATGGAACCCCCAATGTAATTGAGACATTTACACTGACCAGCAATGTCACAGGTGTATTTTACAGTGACCTTCCCATCTCTCTGCTCATGTCTGCATTCTTATCTCCCTCTTAATACACCTTTGCATCCCAAATTCCTGCTACCTTCTGCACCCCAGCCCTCTACTCTACTAACCTCTGCACCCAACCCCCCAGCTCTCTGCTAACCTCTGCACTCCAAACCCCTTTCTGTTCAACTCTGCTCCCAAATTACTCCTCTACTAACCTCTGCCCCCCAAACCCCTCCTCTACTAACCTCTGCCTCCAAACCCTTCCTCTAGTAACCTCTACACCCCAAATCCCACCGCTGCTAACCTCTGTTCTCAACCCACTCCCCTACTAACCTCTGCACCCAAAATCCCACCTCTGCCCCCCAAACCCTTCCTCTACTAACCTCTGCACCCCAAATTCCACCTCTGCTAACCTCTACACTCCACTCTCCCCCCCCTCCCTGTTTACCTCGAAATGCCCTCTTTGCTTACCTTGGCATACTAACCGCTTCTCTGCATACCTTTGTACCCTAAATTATGATCCCTTCACTGTATAACTCTGCAGCCTACCTGTACATATTTGCATCCCAGGCAATAACCCCCTTCACTTTACTCACTTCTGCTGCAAAACTGAAACCGCTTATTTACATCTTCTGTATGGGCAGCATGCAGAGGTGGGGCGTGATTTGCACATAAATCCTAGCAGGTGTTAAACTGCTGACCTAATTTACATACAAATACCTACACGATTTACATATAAATAGCAGGTGAATTTCATTTCAATGCCGATCCTGGGATTTAATTGCAGAATCATGCCCTGTGTTTCTCTCCCTCCAGCAGCTAAAAACTGGTGGGAGGGAGATAAACCAGCTTTCAGCTGCTGCAGAGAGCAGCACAGGACATTCTTCCTGCTATTAACCCCACCGCACCAATTATCCTTCCTGCCTGGGCCCCCCTGTGTGCCAGGCCCCCTACAGACCGATCAGGGGTACCCTCCCTATTGGTGGCCCTGCTGGTGAGACATGCCAAATTCCCTTCATCTTGATTCTGCGGACTAAGCAAGCAAAGTTTAGAGGACAAAACCATAAATCAGCATGAACGTATCATATGGAGTCACCTGGGCATTCACTGTGGAGGCTAGAGGATCCCTCAATCTGGAGACAAACTTGCTCAGTTGATTACTGAACATGGAAACCAAGAGGTCCACATCCAGTGTCTTCTACATGTGATAGTGGTCTTGAAAATACCTCTGGGTGAAGAGACCAGTCTCCACAATCCAGGCATTGCTAAAGAATAAACATCATCTACCAAATTTCAACACCTGGAATGTGCATGGTAGGCAGGGCTGGAATATAAAGTGCCTCCCAAGCCAGAATCTGGTTTGCTTATATTTGAGGTGCAAGAATCTGATGGTTAATGTTTCCCAATGCTTGAGGTGATTGTAACAGTATTAGTGCACTTGCAACACTGAGTACTGTTCCTGATAATTTGCACACACATACAATTTTTCAGGACAATCTTTCAGGGTGTGCCCTCTTCATAAAGGTCCAAGAAGTACTAATGAACAAAGTTTAGCAGAGTGTTAATAAGGCAATCTCCAAGAAGAAGAATCAAACAAAAACACAAAACGTATGCAGCAAATATAAGTGGGCTTGAACAGCTGGTGAGTTAAGGCAGGAAGAGGACTATGTAATTGGAGGGGGGAAATCATGGAGGTTAGAGTATTCTAAAAAATGTTAAGTACAGTAAGTCCCCGACTTGCAAACATTCGAGTTGCAAATTTTCACAGATACGAACGGACCTTGCATTAGGAACATTTGTAGATGCGAACAAATTGCGGAAGTAGCTCACGTATCCGACGGACATTGTCACAGCTGCACATTGTCACAGTTGTGCGGCTATGTGTTTACTGTACAGTGCAATAGTGTACTGTACAGAGCCCAGGGTGTCCGGAAGCAAAAGGAAAAGCAGTGGTGATGTGGAGGGGGACTGCTAAGAAGTGCAAAGCAATAACCATGAAAACAAAAGTGAAAATAAATTGAGAAACTGGACCAAGGAGAAAAGATGGTAGACATTGCTTGTTTCATATAATATGAATCGTTCAACCATTGGCACAATTCTAAAGAACAAGGCCAAGATCATGGAACATGTGAAGTCTGCTGTGCCTATTAAGTCAACAATAATATCCCAAAAGCGTGGTAAAGTGAAAGAGGAGTTGGAGAAACTTCTCAGTGCGTGGCTGTAGGATCAGCATCAGCGTCGAGTCCCACTCAGCTTAATGCTTATTCAAGAACAAGTTAAAAACCTGTTTGAAGACTTGAAGAAAAAATGGGGTGAACAGTGTGCATCTTTTACTGCCAGCCATGGATGTTTAACAGATTCAAGGCTAGAGCCAACCTTCACAATGTAAAAGTTAATATTGAGGCTGCTAGTGCAGATACCATAGCTGCCCAAGAATTTCCAGCAACACTTGGGGTAAATAATCACCTTCGCCAATAATTTCTCTAACAGGTTTTTAATGTCAATTAGACAGGATTGTACTGGAAGAGGATGCTAGAACGAAGTTACATCAGTAAAGAGGAAAAGGTGATGCCAGGCTTCAAAGCACAGACTTACTCTGTTGTTTGGTAGCAATGCTTTTGGTGACATGAAACTAAAGCCTCTCTTAGTTTACCATTCAGAGAACCCAAGAGTCCTCAAAAACATAGTCAATTGCTCTCTACTTGTTGTGTGGAAGAGTACCTCGAAAGCTTGGGTTACATAGGCCATTTTCCAGGACTGTTTTTTCCACCACATTATCAAAGACATAGAGAAATATTGTTTGGAGAAAGATATCCCATTCAACATTCTTTTGCTGCTTGACAATGCACCAGGTCAACCTCAATTCATGGATGACTTTCATCCCAAGATCAAAGTAGTGCATCTGCCACCGAATACTACGGCGCTCATCCAACCTATGGACTAAGAAGTTATTGCGACTTTCAAGAAAAATTATTTATGTCACACTTTTTGTCAGTCAGTGGAGGGTACTGATGAAACAGGAACAACCTTGGGACAATTTTGGAAGAACTAGAACATCTACAAGGCCATAAAAACATCAACTTTGCTTGGCGTGAGGTTTTGGCTGTCACTATGAATGGGGTTTGGAAGAACCTTTGCCGGCAGTTTGTTCATGAAGTTCATGGACTTGAGAAGATGGGTAAAGAGTCCAAAAGAGGTCTTCAACAACTTAGTGACCCTTAGCATGAAGCCGGAGCTAGATCTGCAAGAGGACGACTTCATTGAACTCCTTGCTGTTCAACATGAGGAGCTTACTAATGAAGACCTGATGGAATTAGATGCCCAGCAAAAAGACAAAGAGAGCCAAGAGGAAGATGTAACTGAAGAAACAAAGAGATTCAAAAACACAGGAAATGGTAAAGAGATTTCCTTTACTTGAAGAGGCACTGTTAGCTTTTGAGGCATAGGACCCCAACGTAGAAGGGTACACAAAGGTTGCAGCAGCTGTTCAGGATGCCACCCAGTGCTACAGAGTCACCTATGATGAAAAAAGAAGAGCTACTACTCAGACATCACTGGATCATTTTTTCCAGAGGGTAGACCAAATTGAATCAATCAAAAAACCTGTGTCATCAACATCAGATGCAAGTGAAATTCCATCTAGCCCTCCATTTCTTATTGTTGATGATCCTTCAGCTCCATCAACATCAGGTATGGGCCAAATTCCGTCTTGGCCTCCATCTCCTATTGCTGATGATCCTTCAGCTCCATCAACATCAGCTGAGAGCCAAATTCCATATTGCCCTCCATCTCCCATTGCTGATAATCTATCAGCTCCGTCAACATCAAGTGTGGGCCAAGTTCCATCTTGCCCTCCATCTCCTATTGCTTATGATCCTTAAACTCCAACAATATCAGGTGTGGGCCAGATTCCATCTTGCCCTGTATCTCCTATTGCTGATGATCCTTCAGCTCCACCATCTCCCACCTACTCCCTCCTCCAGTTAATAACTCTCTTCCACTACATGCCAGTTGTGGTACTGTACCACCATTTTAACTACTAGCCTACAATGCACTTATACCCCCTTCCTGCCCTGGCCAATTTCCAGCTTTCAGCGCTGTCACACTTTGAATGACAATTGCGCGGTCATGCAACATTGTACCCATATGAAATTTTTATCATTTTTTTGAGACAGATAGGGCTTTCTTTTGGTGGTATTTAATCACCTCTGGGGTTTTTATTTTTTCTTAAACAAACCAAAAACCACTGAACATTTTGAAAAGAATACGTTTTTTCTTAGTTTTTGTTATACAATTTTGTAAATAAGTGATTTTTCTCCTTCACTGATGTGCGCTAATGAGGCTACAGTGATGGGCACTGATTGGTGGCACTGGCACTGGTAGGTTGCACTGATGGGCATTGACAGGCATCACTGATAGGCACTGAAAGGCTGCACTGATACATGACACTGATATATGGCACTGGCAGGCGGCACAGACTGGCACTGATAGGCAGCACTGACTGGCACTGATAGGTGGCACTGATGGGTGACATTGAAAGGCAGCTCAGATGGGCACTGATATGGGGCATTGATGTGCACTGGTATGCACTGATATGTGGCATTGATATGGCACTGATGGGTACTGGCACGTGGCACTGATACTGACATGTGGCACTTCTGGGGCCACACTGATCATCAGGGCACACTGATCATCAGTGCCCTGATGATCAGTGTACATGTCCCCTCCGCGAAAAGCTGATTACCGGCTCTCCTCTCCTCTCGAGCTGTCAGCGTGACAGCTCGAGAGGAGAGAAATGCCGATAACCGGCATTTCCGTGTTTACATGTGATCAACTGATTGGACACAGCTTATCACATGACCGAGCCAACATCTTTGGCTCTTTCCGTGAGCCGCTGTGTCCGAGGGACACAGCGGACCGGCAATCGCCGCGCTGCGCGCACCCTGAGCCGCGCATGCTCAGTGAGAATGGTAGGACGTCATATGACGTCCTATCAGAACGAGAGAACCACCTTGCGCCCGTCATTGTACTATAGGGCGGGCGGAAGGTGGTTAAGGTAACAGTAAAAGCAAAAATATTTTATTCATATTTGTACTGTACTGTGCCACCATTTTAAGGTAAATGTAAAAGTAAAAAGTTTATTTACAGTATTTTTGTGTGTGTTTTTTTTTTTTATGCTTTACATTGTATATTTGTGCCAAAGGGGTATAAGACTCACTTTGTCACACTTATGAACGAATCCGATTTACGAACATTCTCCCAGAACAGAACTCGTTCTTAAGTCGGAGACTTACTGTAGTGATTAAAAAGCTAAGGTCTACATTTAGACCATAATATTTTTTGTCAAATAGAATCATCATTCTTACTTCAAATGTTTTTCCTTTCCTGAGCAGTTTTAACGTTCTCTTTAACCACTTGCCTGCCTCGCACTTTTACCCCCTTCCTGCCCAGGCCAATTTTCAGCTTTCAGTGCTGTTGCAGTTTGAATTACAATTGCATGGTCATGCAACACTGTAGCCAAATTACATTTTTTACTTTTTTTTAGACAAATAAAGCTTTCTTTTGGTGGTATTTAATCATCACTGGGGTTTTTATTTTTTGCTAAACAAATGAAAAAAGACCAAACATTTTGAAATAAAGTTTTTTTTTCTAGTTTGGCATGGTGGGACATAATATTTGGCATGGTGGGATTTTTAAGGCACAACAAAAATTATTCCCTTGAAAAACATAAAGTTTATTTGTACAAAATATCTTTAAATATAATATCCTCATCAAATTTTGTGTAGAAAACCACATTTAAATCATGTATTCTCTAATTTGCATTGCAACTCAAGTATAGTATAAAATATAACAACAGATTCAGATACTCAAACGTTCAACACGTTTCTTGGACTTTATCCATCTCATCAGGAGCTAAAGATGAATGTCTCTGAATGTGAAAACATACACCGTTAACACATATTATACACCATCCAATTGTATAAATAGTGTTCTTACTGTTCTGCCATTTACCTGAATATGCCCATAAAAGAAAAGGAAAGAGGCCCTGGCAGGGAGATGAATCTATTTTGAAGCACAGGCAAGTTGATGAAGTGAAAAAAGAATACACAGTACTATTATCTGTAATATATAAAAAAAAATTACAAATAACTATCCCTTAATATATATATATATATATATATATATATATATATATACACACACATACATACATACATACATACATACACACACACACATACACTGTATATACACACACACATCTCTTTTAGTTATTTAGTACTAGCTTCTTATCCACTTTCGGGCCGCCTGCAATGTACTGTGGACAAGCTGCAGCTACAGGTCCAGTGACATACCCATACATTGCTGGTCTTTTGCCAACACAGGGGGTGCTGCAACCCTACCCCCTCATGTCTGACGTGTCCACCGGACACAGCAGAATAAGAATCCCGGTAATCGGGACCTGGTGATCATGTGAAATATTATGTTGGTCTTTTGTAAAAAAGTGAATTTTCTCCTTCACTGATGTGCACTGATTAGGCTGCACTGATGGGCATTGACAGGCTGAACTGATGGGCATTGATGAGGCTGCACCGATATGCGGCACTGACAGGCATCACTGTTGGGCACTGATAGCCAGCACTGATGGGCACTGACAGCCAACACTGAGGAGGCACCGATAGCCAACACTGAGGAGGCACCAATAGCCAGCACTGATGGGCACTGACATCCAGCACTGATACAAAGCACTGATATGCACTAATAGCAAGCACTGGCAGGCACTATTAGCCGTACTGATGGACACAGATGGGGCTACACTGATAATGATGGCACTGCTGATCAGCGCCCTGATGATCAGTGTAGACGTCCCCTCTGAGGAATGCAGCTTACGGCTCTCCTCTCATCATGTGCTGTCAGCATGAGGAGTGGACTGTCGATAACCAGCAGTTCCTTTTTACACTGTGATCCTCTGTGGTTGGACACAGCTGATCACATGGTAAAAGACTTCCCTAATTGGCTACAGAGATTACAGATCATGCCAGGTGCGTGCCCCATGGGGCGTGGGGGGGGGGGGCATGGTTCAGGGAGGATGTCCATGGATGCCTTCCCAGAACTAGCTGACTGTAACCATCTTTTGGCTATAGCGCGGTTGGGAACTGGTTAATAACCAAAACAGTCAGGTCTCCCATAGTGTGATTTGGTTGTGAGAAATTATGTCCTACAGGTGTACAGAAATCATCTTCCTTATGATCTTTAGTGTATACCAATGCTAAAGCATGTCAGACATATTATGGGTCAGATGACCTTGTAGTCGAGATATCCAGAAATAAGCAAATTGCTTTGAGTTTTAGTAAACTGAGTTGGAGATTAGTTTCCTCCAGCAAGCAAGTTCCTTGCACCACAAGGGTGTTCTGAACATCTTCCGAGCAAGTTAAGCTGGCATCAGTCATCAACCAGACCAATAGTTTCCTTGCTGAAAAAAGACAAAAGTCCATCCAGTTAACCCATTAAAAAAAAAAGTTATAATCCTATACCCACAGTTGATCCAGAGGAAGACAAAAAAACCAGCGAAGCATGATCAATTTGCTCCTGCAGGGAAAACAAAATCCTTCCTGATTCCCCGAGAGGCAATCGGATATTCCCTGGATCAACTTTACCTATAAATGTTAGTATCTGGTTATATTCATATTCAATGAATGAAACATTTTTTTTCGCCTGACTTCAGGATTGGATCCCCAAGTTAAAGGCCAGAGACAACCTAGTCATAGGTGTAAGGGCCCGTTGGGTGGGGGGGTGAAGGGGACTGGGCATACAGTACATAACTGTAGTGAACTAACCAAGGGGTAATCAACAAAAATGATAATGCTGTGTGTCCACAGCAGGAAATGTTCAAATGCTGGAGATATGTGGATACACAGGTAGGGATCATTGATGTAGGTAGAAGCCACAAGTCTCCCAGATAGAAAGAAATGATAACTAACTGTAAATTTTCATCTTCAAGGCTAGAATTCTTTTTCCCATTTCTTTTCCCTATTCTGGAACAACATCAATCACTCCCTAAGAGATGAGTTATGCCAAAGCAGCCAGAAAGTCTTTAACAGAATGACAGAGGGCAAGATTGAAAATCGAGCTAGCTTCAAAGCCACATCTTCTGCACATGCATATGAAATGTTTTGAATGTAGGTGGTCACAAATGCAAACAGGTATTCCCCCTCCTTCCTCCAAAACGTGGAAGCACAAACGACTGGGAGACATTTTACTAAGCATCGGAGGTAGGACCTCTTACAGCTTGGATTTTATCAATTCCCTGATCCATCCAAAAAAGAAAAAAGTTTTGGCTTTAGATATACTGTACGTGAATGTAATTTTCAACACTCCAGAGTGGGCAGTTCTATCCATCTGTATAATGTCATGAAGTACTTATGATAGTAATGCCCACAAGAACATAAAAATTCCTTATTTTAGATTAATTTGAGGGTCCAGAAAGGTGTTGTACATAGTTTACAGAAGCATTGCACCACCCTGTCTATGATTTAAAAAAATGTACAAGGGAACTTTATTATTCCAGATTGTAGAGGCTGATACAGGGGTGGACTGACCATTTGGAAACTTGGGCACTGTCCGAGGGCCCGGGGTCAGTAGGGGGGCCCATGAGATGCTCCGGTACCTTTTTCATTGGCTTTTTTGAGTTTGGGCAAGGACACAGGGGCCCCATGATCCCCTATTGCCCGGGGGCCCCATGAGTTGTCAGTCCGCCCCTGGGCTTATATATCTGTGTAAATTCACTTTTCTTGAATTTGTTGGAAAGAAAAATAAACCCTGAGAAAAGCCCACACTTTTGCCCTGAAAGATCAGACTAACTCAGGAGACTCAGTCAAGAGAGAAGTATGGGTGCTGTTCCTGAATTTCATTTTATATTTGTACTTGGCCATTAATTATACAGCACAGCACCAGAATAACAACCAGAGATTAAATGTAATGCAGTAATGTCAAACTCTTAATTTCTCAGCAACATTTAGTGCCTGAAGTGGCTGCTTCAAGCAAATATTTATGCACCAAAGTGTCAATCTTTTAGTGGTGAACAAACACACATTTAACAAAAATCCAGTTACTGCTACATTGGAAAGCAAAAATCTAATAGATGATTGCTAACACACATGCACAAGGCCACTATTCTATCCTGCTTTCAGTCAGCACTCTGTTTAATGCAGATCTGTTGATCATGTTTACAGACTGAAAAGTGCTATATATCTGTATATACAAGATGCAAACTACCTTGCTAATTACATAGCTAGCAAGCAATAACAATAGGTGTGTTGCCTTTAAAAAAGAAAAAAAATCCTGACTGGTTTACAATACTTGTTAGTTCAGAAATAAGAATTATCATCTGTTTAGGTATGTGCAATTCGTTTAGTTATGATTCAAAATTCGGACACATTTTTTGTTATTCAGAGATACGGATGCATCTGAATCTCTGAATCACATTAGTAACAAAGTTAAAGGAATCCAAAATAAATTATAACAAAAACAGCAAATTTATTTGTATTCATTTGTTTCATTTGTCAACAGCTTCAGAGGGTTTTGTAAGTTCAATAATATGTTTGACACT